TGTATATATTGAAATCCATGAGTTTACATTGACAATTCCATTTCAGATCCACACCACAGGATTCACTCTAGTTTATCTCCCTTTCCTTTTCTAACACTGCAGAACCTGGCTCTCATTATCCTTAATATATTCACTTATTTGATCAATCCTTTTGTACCTAACCAAACTTCTGTCACCATAACCATTCTCTCTTTTATGGATTCCCTTTTCACGGAGTAAAGGCTCTACCTCTCCATGCTGAATTATCACTGGTTCACCAACTTGGATACCCTTTCCATCATTCTTGGGTTCTTATTCCCTGTTCTGCTACCCATCCTTGTGGAACCTTTCCTCACCTTTCCTTGACACCCAGAGTTAGGCCTTCTGTCCACGGGAACACTGTCCTTAGATTGTGACATCCTACCCAGGCCACCCCTACATGTGGATGCCCATCTTAGCCTACACAGGCTTAGCTGAGCCACTGTGACTGCCCATCCCCCAACACTGCCAACCCTCTTGCACAGATTGCTGGTTTCCTTGCCCACTGCCAGTTTCCTTAGGACTTAGTTGTTCAGTAAATGAAGAGAAGGTAGAAAGAAGATGTAGAAAAGTAAATAATCAAACATTTTGCAAATACATTATAAATCTGCATGTTAATTCCTACTTTATGATCTAATACATATGTATTTATAACTCATTATTCATTGAGCTGTGAAATAATAATAATAATGAGGACTATTAATGAAAACAAAACATGGCTTCTAGATTCTTTTTTTTTTTTTTAAAGATTTTATTTATTTATTTGAGAGAGAGAGAGAGAATGAGAGACAGAGAGCACGAGAGGGAGGAGGGCAGAGGGGGAAGCAGACCCCCCGCCGAGCAGGGAGCCCGATGCGGGACTCGATCCCTGGACTCCAGGATCATGACCTGAGCCGAAGGCAGTCGCTTAACCGATTGAGCCACCCAGGTGCCCCCAAAACATGGCTTCTAGATTCTTAAATGTAGTTCTATTTTTCAACTAGTTATTGACCTCTTATTAGGCACATGAGTGATAATTAAAACACAAAGTATAGATTAAACATAATTTCTGCCTTTAAGAAGCTTTACATCCTTGAGCCCTAATAGTGAAGTGATAAGCAAAAACATTTTACACATCAATATACTTTATAATAGCACATTAATATATTTTCTAATATAGGGCAGATAATATTAGAATTTTATCCCTAGTATCTAAAGTAGTTAAAAGTCATATGATAATGAGAAGCCAAGATGATTGGCTTTTTAATCTAGTTTTTATTCAATAGCTAGTACACATAGGTCAGACTAAACAGTATGTTGATGTATAAAATGTGTATTTTTTGCACATTACTGGAAAGATCTTTAACTACACATTTTTTCATTTTCTATTTATTGTCAATTAATTTCCAGCCACTAATGATACACATGAATATAGTGTTATCCAGGGTTATAGTACTTATTTCTAGTTGATGATGAAGTGACTGCAAACTTCCAGCTTTTTTCAATGTTTTATTACATTCATGGTGATACTTTTGGTCTTTCATCATTATTAATTCATTTAGTATTCATTGTGATAATACTGATCATAATAAATTTATTTCAAATTCACGTAGATGTCATATTTTATTCACTGCTATAGGATTTTCATTGTAATTTGGAACTAATTAATATACCATTAAAAATAAAGTGTTACCCACATTTTTCATTTTAAACATAAAAAGTCTAGCAGTTCATGACATATTGTATGAGTATTCAGCATCCCAGTGGTATCCCAAGTATCTGTAAATTTCATTTTTAAGCAGTTAAAAAAAGGGCAATAGAGAAATGTGTATGGGAGTCAAATTACAGCATATAAATTAAAACTTAGCAGTAAGTTAACTACTAGTTATTTTTAAAATATTTCCCTTTAATTAAGATGTATAGTTCTTATTACTATATCTGTGCTTATATTTATATACATTGGTGTTCAGAGCTCCAAAAAGAGAGAATTTAATCTTCTTGACTATATATTACATGTTAGCATTATTACCAGGAGAAATTAGAAAACAAAGTCAAAACAGATGATTTGATTGCTTATTCTGCATTTCTAATGACAGTAATAAGTAAAGTGTAGGTTCAAGCTATACATGAGTTTAAAATAATTAGGTGTATCTGTATATCTTATTTGAATATTTTTTTCTTCCCCTTTTTTAAGGTTTTATTTATTTATTTATTTATTTATTTATTTATTTATTTATTTATTTATTTAATAGAGAGGGAGCAGGAGCAGGGGGAGGGGCAGAGGGAGAAGCAGACTCCCCGCTGAGCAGGGAGCCCTATGGAGGCTGAAGGCAGATGCTTAACCTGCTGAGCCATCCAGGCGCCCCTCCCTGTTTTGAAAGGTAGTCACTTGTTGACTGTTGGTGGGGTAGGAAAGACAAGCATTTTCAGTAATTTAAATAGAGTATATTAAAAACAAGGGAAACAGATCTATAATCATATTGTTAGGTTAAATACCCATAAAAAGCTGTTTTATCTCATTATCGTGAATTTTACTTCACATCAGCCTTATTGAATAAAATTATTCTTTCCTTCCTCACACTCTGTCATCTTTGAATTGCCTGATCTGGATATTGTGTTACTGTATCTTTTCTATTTTTGCTCTAATGACATTTTATATCTTGCACGATCATATCTTCTTATTGGCTAGGGTAAGATTTTAAAAGAAAAACAAAAGATTCCCTCTAGCCCTGCAACTCCTTGAAACATTGATCTTGTCTTCATGACTTCTTCAGAGCATTTGGTACTGCTCAACCATGGTCTCCCTTCCTGCTGCCTTCCCATTAACTTCTATGACGCTGCAAAATACTGACTCTTATAATTGGGCCGCCTTTTTTCTTTCCTTATTTAACATCCTAAAGTTTTGTGAGTTTTTCGTTTATATAAATGAAAATTTTCTGTATGTGTTTAAATGCTGAATTATTTCTTACTAGCAATATTATGAGTTCCTATTGCAGTACATTCTCACCCATACCTGGTATATCTGAAATTTTTGGTTTTTTACTATAGATGTTGGTGTCTTTTCACATCTTAGTCTCAATTTATTGTTTTAAGGAGATGGGTGCTCTTTTATGACAGAATTTTAGTATTATATTTGAAAATGGCTTACATGCAGTCTTCCTTTTAATTTTTTTCCTTCCCCCCCCCGCCCCTTTTACTTTCCTCCCATCTCCTGTTTTTATCCTTCTTTCCTCTCTTCTCCTTTAGGTGCAGTGATGGTTAGGAATCCAGCTTTTGGAGCCAGAGTATCTAGGATCAAATTTCAGCTCTGACATTTATTAAGATGTGACCTTGGACAAATCCCTACACCTCTGTCTCCCTTAATATCTTCCTCTGTCAAATGGGGATAATATTTTAATGTTGTTGGTGGGTATAGTGAGGGAAGCTTCTGAGTGGCAGTCTTCACAGGGATTAAATATGTCTGTAAGAGGCATGCCATTCCCCGAGAGAAAGCAGCTTTGGTAAGACAAAGACTGACTGTTAGGAGAAGTATCAGTTACCTCTGGAGCCGCTGGGAATGCATGTGGGACAAAGTGGGTAATATTGCTGATTTTGGGATTTTAAAGTTTAGTGGAAAGACCATCACCAAACAGTCCTGATGCATGACTGTGTTAAATATCGTGAAGAGCTAAGAGGGTATACAATGGCAAGCCCTACTGTGGTTTGGGGAGTCAGGGAGGGCCCGGTGGAGTGAAGGACTTCATTTGAACCAAGAATGTGGTTTATACATGTCTCTGCTATAATTTTGTACGCGTAGTACAAACACACACTGATAATCGAACTTTCTTTTCTTTTCCTAATTGTCTAGAGCGCCTCTCAACCTTACTGACTTGTGTGAATTCTCTCCACTACTCTTCACATCTGGATCACTGACTGATGCATAATTTTTGTTTTTCTTTTTGCTTTTGTGAGTCCTTTAGAGTCAGGCTTTCAGGTAACTCTCTTCCCTGCTTATCTAGAACTAAAATCCTTCCGCTTGTTTCTCCAGCTTTTTGCCACTGACCGCTTAACTGCTCATCCTATTTTCTTTCTCTTAGCCAACTTCATAGTATTGTTTAAGAATTTTATTGTTTGAGGGTTTTCCCCCTTCTGTCTTTGTTCTAGTTATAATATATAAATTTAATGAAATCTATGTATTTAATCTAGCATATGATGACAACAAAAAAATAACCTGTCCAAGGAAACACTATTTTGAGGGAATTAAAAAAAAAAATTAAGAAATAAATGGTTAGCCATTCTTTATTCATTCAGCAAGCATAAAGGGCTAATTAGGTGCCAACCAGCATTCTAGGAAAGAAATTACTTTGTGGTGCATAGTAGTTGCCTTAAGCAATATCACTTTATCTAACAGGGATGGGGAGGGAGAATTATAATGACTGGTGAAATTAAAATGGCGATCTGTCTTGACTAAACCTTTTTTTTGCTGTAAGTCAGTAAAACCTAACAACTGAATTTCTTGTCTTTTTACAAGCCTATGGCCCTGCCCCTGCTTTAACTTAAATGGAGTTTCTGAGAATTCTATCTAGAATAGGCATTCTGTGATGGATTCATTTTACTTAGAGGCAGTTCATTTAACTGATTCAAGTATTTTAATCTTGCATGATATGTGTAGTGGCATTCAAATAGTAAATTCAAGAAATTATGTTTTTAAAATAATGAAAAAATGCATGTTGCTTTATTTCCTTGTAAGAATCACTGGTAAATTAATTAGTTGCAAAATAGGTGATTATAAAAATAAAAAAAAGTAAAGCTGTTGAAAGCACATGGCCTCTCAGAGAAAGGTTAATTTTAAAAATATAGCTCATGATTTCTGAAATGCTTTATTTAGTATTTTAATTTTATTTAAAATGACATTTGAATTATAATTATCATTTTGGAAGAAATTAAAGGTTAAGTTTAACAGGTTGATTTGCTTTAGAATTACATTAGCCACTAATGAAATGCTTTAAAAAATTTCTTTTTAGTGTTGTAGATATATTTAGGAAAAAGGAGTATGATGCAGCAGTTAAAATCCAGAGCTGGTTTCGAGGATGTCAAGTTCGGGCATATATCAGGTATATGATTTTGTCATGGAAACGTCAGATATATCATAAAAATATACTCCTTAGAAAATGTAATTTATTCATGTAAGTGCTGATTGCAAATAATCTTTTATTTTACCTATAATAAAGTTAATAAATTATATGATGTCCTTTTTAAAGAAATAACTCTTTTGGTCTTTTCTTACATGTCAAAAAACTAAATTATATCAACTATATCTCTAATTTTTAAAAATACACTTGATTAGATTCTTTTCTTCAATTCCATAGGATGTGACAAATGACTGGACTTTATTTATAGCATGAATTCACTGACTGATAAGAAAGGAAAAACAAAACAAAATAAAACAAAAAGAAAGCTATTCCAGTCTTCTCCAACATGTTGATAGATAAGGGCAAATGATACCAGAATGCTGCCATCCTGATCATAAAGACACTGAAGCTGATCTCCCTATCTTAATTGTTCTTTTTCTTCAGTGCTCAAACTTTCCTTCAGTCTCTCGCAATTCTAAAAAGAATTGCCCTGGATAAGGTGGAGGAGGAAAATGCCTATCACAAAATAACTCATTCAGATGGTGAACTGGGGATTATACTGTATAGTTCCTTCTGTTAGCTTGGGGAGCCAGAATTGCAGATCCAAGTGGGAAGATGAGGTTTCTCTTCTGGCCCCTATACGAACTAGGAACATGGCAGCAAAGAGAGTATTTTTTTAATTCAGCAGATTAACATGTCATTAGCTTGGATAGACTGGGAAATATAAGCATGAAAGAGGAAGTGTTTCTTGACCTCAAGAATTATTTCTAAGTACTTAACGGTGACTCACATCAATATTGCCTGGCTTATTTTTCAGCGTGTTCCTTTGACCTGTTTTATAGTCTTAACATTCAAAAATATTTCCAAGAGTTAGTACTGAAGAATATTTGAAATTTAAAGATGTTTAATCATAAGCCCAAAAGGAATACTGAATATTTATTTCTGCCCCCTTTTCTACCTCTAGAAATGGTTAATTCTATTGCAGAATGATAGCTCTGCCCTTTAAAAGTACACAAAAATTTGGCTTTGAATGTGAGTTCTTGAATTGTAGAAAATACAGTCTAAGAAAAAACTTAAGCAATAATCTCGTTCAAGGAAGCATACTAATAAGTATATTTTTTACCCAGGAATTTACATAGAGTAACAACTATTATTCAAAAATGGTGGAGAAGTTACTCAGGGAGACAAAAGTATCAACTAATTGTAAAGGTAAATATTATAAAATTTATGTATGTTAGCATTTGAATTATACAGTATGCTGTAACTTAACTTCAGTCATATTTACATGCAGCTTGGAAGTTATTGGTATAAGTATTTACATAAGAACAAAATTGGGGTTAAATTTTAGAATGAGACCTCTTCTGAGAAGCCTTTTCTGTTTTTCCATGGAGAATTGATGACTCATTTCTTTGTACCCAGACTACACCAGACATTTTCTTTTTGTTAAAGTAACTTTCACAGCGTATGCATTTATATGCACTTATTTGTCGGTGATTTCCTCCAGGTTCTAGATGTTGAGCTGTTTCAGGGTAGGTACAGTAGCTTGTTCATTTTTGGACCATCAACATTTAGATTAATCCCTGTTTCATAACATAGTCAATAAACATTAATTGAATTAAAGTGGCCAAAATTAATTCAACAAAATATAAAAATAAGGCAATTTCGCTCTTACCATTGTCTGTTGGGATATTGTCTGTTGGGATATTTTGAAGATTTGCCTTAAGAAATGTGCTATACCACAACCATCTCTATCCATTGATAGTTTTGTAGAAGTATATGGTAGCGTGCCAACTTACACTTCAGCTAAGAGTTTTAGGATATTAAGAAAAAAAAATTTTTTTGGTACAAAATGAGAAAGTTTCTAATCAGTGGCCTACTTCATTTATTTTTTGGTTTGTTACTATTTTTGACTACAATAGCTTAATTTTGTTTTTCATTTGTTCCTGATTAGTTGCATCTAAGTGAAATTAAAAGATATAGAGAGGAAAAGATAAAAATAATTAGATAAGTAAATGATAAGTATTCACCTTTAGTGAAAAAACTGTAAGGGGCACCTGGGTGGCTCAATTGTTAATCATCTGCCTTCAGCTCAAGTCATGATCCCCGGGTCCTGGGATCCAGCCCCGCATCGGGCTCCCTGCTCAGCGGGAAGCCTGCTTCTCCCTCTCCCACTCCCCCTGCTTGTGTTCCTTTTCTTGCTTTGTCTCTCTCTGTCAAATAAATGAATAAGATCTTTGAAAAAAAAAAAAACAACTTTAAAACGTGTTGATAAAGTACAGAAACTGCTTGGAGGAAGAGCCTACTATTTTAGATTTTGTGAAATTAAGTATTCAAACAATAATTCTGCCATGAACTTTTTGTAACTGTTGGATCTCTCTTATAGCTAGTTTTAAAATCACAGTGATGCTCTCAGAACACAGATGCTTAACCGACTGAACCACCTAGGTGCCCCATGGGGGTGGGGAGATAGTTCAAAACTGTGTGTATGTGTGTATATATATATATCCTCTTTCTCATCAAGCTTTTTTATACTAGGTTTAGCATTCATTGATGGCTTTGGCCAGAATCAATTATTATATTTGTTAAATTTTTTGTCCTTTTTATTATTTACATCAGTATGAACTAATGGATTCCTGTTTTATTCAATGGGTTATAATAAATTACTATCACTAATTGGTTTGGTGCTCAAAAATGATATGGCCAGCAGAAGCTCCTTCAAACCAACTTTTAATGGAATCAGATTACTTAAAGGGGATGATCAAAAAAATAAGGTATTTTTTATGGAGTGCTGAGTGATCTCTGGCCCCATTATTCATTCATAGTTGGGGAATCTATATCAATGTATAGATAAGACAATAAAGTGTATGTATGCATATGGCATTCCATGAGCATTACTGACTTGACTTCCATTGCTGTAATTTCTACTCACAAGCCACTAGTCAGAAGGTTATGAATGATTGAGAACCTCTTTTTAATTAAATATACAAGAGTATAAACATTTCAGTGACTATTGTCAATGTATTCAACTTTGGAATCTATATTTATTCTAATGATGTTGAGGTTGCTGAAAAATATTTTTAAAAATTCATATAATGATCCATTCTAGGAAATTTGTTTTGTTACTTTAGTGTCTTAACTGAGTTTGATTAAAAAGAATATCACTCAGCATGATCACTAAGTTATTCTCCAGTTTTGGATCTAATTATCTTTGAGATCTTGGGGGGAAAAAAAAGGGAGATTTTCCTCATTTAGCTTGCTTCTGGGTAGTTTTTAAGCCTGTTAAGCTGTAAGCTATTTTAGAACACGTCTGTTTTATTTATTTATCTATTTTTGCCATTATGTATATAGGACGTAACAGAAGGATCTCAGATAACATAATTGGACCTCAATAAGTAATTACTGAATGAAATTAAAATAGCTGCCATTTACTGATTGACTAGTATGACTAAAATATCGTAAACATTTTATGTGTTTAATGTGTATACCGACTTATATAAGTCCTATGAATATTATCACTGTTTTATATATGAAGAATTTTAGTCTCAGAAGTGGTTACTTCCCCAAGGACATACTGTTAGTGATACGTGGAGAAAAGTTCAAACCCAATTTGATGTGATTCCAAAACCCTTATGTACTGAGCTGGTAAGCAGTTGAAGTTCAGTTCATTATTGGAGATTTCCCTCCTTTGGGTTATACAGAGGTCCACAAAGCTTAAGTAGTGTGAACACACCAGAGATCCCCACCTTTGTGCAGCTTCATTCAGAGGAAGTTCATTGTCCTAGCCCATGTCGTTGATCTCTCAACGTTCATCCCTGGAGAACTCTGTGGCTGGTGGGCCACATAAAGGGAATGGAATTTTTGTTAGAGTCACTATCCCGATATCCCTAGTGCTTTGAGTCCTGTCTCCTCCACAGGTGCCACCAAGTCTATTCCTAGAGTTTTAACCACCTCCCAGAAGCAATAGGAATGCCAAATGTGGTAATACCTTATTTTAAAAAGCTAATGCCCAGCTCTTCCCCAGACATGTGGAATCTTGACTCCTTTATTTCTCTTTCTCTGCCCATAGCTCCCTTCTTATTATCTCTCTCCCATGCCACCATAATTTCTCAGAGCTCAGGTTTTAGGAAAGCAGAGCATGGTAGGGATGGACAGTCACACATAAGCCATCTGAAGCAGGAACACATGGATGGCCTGCTACTTTCTTGGGTTGGGGGGTGGGACAGGAATTAAAGATACTGTTTAAGTCTACATTAATTATCCTGTCACACACATAGTCTGTAGTAACTGTGTTTAAATCATCATTTCCCAAATTTATTCTGCGTAATTTTTTTGGCCTAACAGCTATATGCAATAATAACAATGCCATATAGTACATGATTAAGTTACAAAATGAGTGGTATAGGTTAGTGATTTTAAAACTTAGAGATAGAACCCCTCCTTCACTAAAATGTTAGCAAAATTTTTAGCCTATGTATAAAACAGGTGTAAGAGGTGCAGCTGTTTTGGAAGTTGAAGAAACTCAACTGCTTGGACTCTTTCTCTGTGGCCTCTGTTGTCACCTGAGCCACCATACTATGACTTGAAAGCCAGTGATTTAATTTGCTTGTCTGGGAAAGGATCACAAAAAACTGATGATATTAATTGCCTAAGGGAGAAGAAAACTGGGTCCTTAAGGTAGAAGCATAAGAAAGAGACTTTTTTGGGGTGCCTGGGTGGCTCAGTCAGTTGGGCGTCTGCCTTCAGCTCAGGTCATGATCTCTGGGTCCTGGATGGAACCCTGAGTTGGGCTCCCTGCTGAGCAGGGAGCCTGTTTCTCCTTTCCCCCCTGCACCGCCCTCCCCCCACTTATGTGCTCTGTCTCCCTCAAATAAATAAAATCTTTAAAAAGAGACTTTTTTTTATTATAAACTCTTCTGTAGCTTTTGAATTTTAAACAATATGAAAATATTATCTATTAAGTAAATTAATAAAAAAGGAAAGTCAATTTAAAAGGGACTCTCCCACCAGACACATGGACAGATAGTAAGTGCTTAAATGGGGAGTTAATGTTATCTCCAAAGATCAAAGAAATGAGACTTGAACTGACCTCCAGGGGATCAGTAAACGGTAGACTGGGAAGAGGGAAGGACATTTCCATTAGGAACAGCATGAATGAGGTTTTGAAATTGGGAATGAGCATGGTATGATGGGAGACAGGAGGATGTTGATCTGGATGGCTCAAAGAATTTGGGGACTAGCAGAAGGTTGGTCAGGAGTTGAATGTGACTTTTAAAAAGTAATTTCCTACATTTTTAAAGGAATTTCTTGTTTAAAAACTATATCCATTATTTAATATTTTCTAGTAATCTGTCAAGTAGAAAGTACAGGTGTTATTTTCATTTTATAGATAGAAAAATGGGGGCTTAGGAAGATTCAGTGATTTGCCTAAAGTTCTCAGTTTCTGATCCATATAAATCCACATGCTACTTATTAAAATATTATCTGCATGCCCCTAAGGTACCCCAAACCTGTTCCTCCTTATATATTCTTTTATTCAGATAAATGGTACAACCATTCAACCAGAAATCCAGTCATCCTAGACTCTCCACTACCTCCTTCTCCCTACTATTTATCTCCTATCAGCCATCAAACACTTTCCATTTCCCCTCATAAAAGTCTCTTGACTTCAGTCTAAACATCATCATTTTACTCCCATGCCTATAGCCCTTGCCATAGCATACAGCCTAAAGTTCACACTCTTTCACGTGACATGTCAGGTTTTTCATAGTCTCCCTATTGCTTCTTCTCTAACCTCACTTCTTGCTACACCTGTATAAAATATACTTTGGGCACATTAAATCGTTTGCCATTGTCAAAATATGCAATGTCCTACAGGTTTTTTTGCAAAGCCCTTTATCTTGCCTTGAATGCCCTCCCTCCTTCATCTGAGCTACCTCCCATTGGTCCAAATCTCTACTTACTGTTCCAGACTTAAATATTAACCTTCCCTGAGCTCCTGAAGCTGAGTGTAGAATGGTGGGAGACTGCAGATATCAGGTGTGCCTTCCTAGCTTTGTTCATGTAGGCATTTGTCCCACTGTGATACATTTGTTTATCTACATCTCTTATTTGACTGGGAGCTCCTGAATGGGTAACTGTTCAATTTACTGTATCTCAAATGTATCACAGCAAATGTCACATAGAAAGCCTGCAGACATTTTTGCTAACTG